TGAGTTACTAAAAAATCAGAATGTCTTTCCTGTGGAAAACACTGGTATCATGAAATGTGTTTTTAAACTGAATGTTGAAAGTAAAAGAGATTGTATTTTGAGTAAGTTTACAATATTGGTGGTGTAGCAAAATGTTAACCTGAGATCCCAGTTCTAGGACAGGTCCATTTCCACTCCAGTTCAAACAGCCTTTCCAGAGGGCACACAGCAGTGCTGGGAGTGGTAAATAAGAGCCCAGATCTCTGTGCCCAAGGTGAGTGACTCCCCAGAGCATTATGAAGTGGAATTCCTCCCTCAGGTCATTTGACAGTTGCATTTCTTCCCCTGCCATTTTGTGTCTCCAGCAGAGATAACATTCCTTGGCTGTGCCTTGATGCCAAGGTCCCTCTCCATGGGAGGCGAGAGCTTTCAAGGGCCATGAAGATTATAAGCCATGGCTAAAAAAACTTTTGCTGTACCTGAAAAAATTAATGTCTTCAAATGAGGAATGAGATTGGGTATGGATCTCGACTGGGTTGTTCTTTCCGTAGGAAGGACTCTGGATAAGGGTAAGCCTGGGATGAAAAGTTGTGTCTGACTCCTGGTAACTCATTGCTGCTGGTGGGAAAAGGGAATAGGAGGGATATCAGCCTCCATGAGAGAAGGGGCTTGGAGAAGGGGATAGGAATTATGCTGAAGCTCCTGTTCGTGCAGGGACCACCACCTCAGGTACCTTCAGGTTCTCACTCTCGGGATGAAAGCAGGCAAAACTTCTCTAGGTTTGGCAGAGGTGAACGAGAAAGAAAAGACAAATTCCCAATTAATCACTGCCATTGGCATATGCTCTGTTAGTGGGGGAGGAGAAGTAAAGAGTTAAGCTTGTACAGATTTACGTTTTTGCTAGTGAATGACGTGTGCATAAGATGTGTCCTAGATAAGCATTGTTGGGTCTTCTTTGTCCCTTGAAAACTGTAACAGAGAGATTTGCATTCTAATTTTGTGATTAAGTCTAACCCATACCTTGACTGCATTCATATACTAAAGTTTAGATTATACTGTAGAAGTTCAGTATTTGAAAAACTGTTGCTTGTCCATGATAACCCTACCTGAGAAGTACTTGACTAAGGAACTTCTTGAGTTTTTCCAAACCCTAAAGTTTCTACATTTGTTTCATTCACACTCAGCTGGCCTGATCCATGCTAACACTTTGTTTTCCTTTGCAATTAAAATATTTTAGCTGCCATGTGAAATATGTGAGACTTTTTAGACTTGTCAGAAGCTCAGCAGGATGGCACTGAGTGTTTGCATAGCAGCTTATAACAGTCCCAAGAATAATTCCTTGATCAACTTTCTGGATATTTTTAAACTAGTGAAAAATATGAGCTGTTGAATAAATCCATTTTGCTCCTTGGCATACGATTATTTTCCCACTTTTTATTTCACTGTTGGTTATTTGAGAGCTCAAAACACATTTCCAAACATGCCTCTCTTCTGTCCCAAAATGAACATGTGACTGTGGATTACCCATCAGACTTTGACAGTCTTTTGGTCCAACAGCACATCTGGGTAGGGATTTCTATGTTACTTCTTTTCTTTTTAAAGCTAGAATGTACCAAGTTCACTGGCCATGTGTTTAGCTTTCAATGAATTTTTTTTCTTTCTTCCAGCTTTTGTTGTTTTGTTTATAGTTTTTAATAATCATGTTGTACTCACCTTGTTTTTTGCTCTTCAGTGATCATAGCATCAGTAGCCATAAGTGTATCATCAGTAGCCATTAGTGGACAGAAAGAGGACTGAGATCCCTGATGTGATTGAGAGACAAGCGGACTGTGACACTCACTCCCATCCCACTGAATCTGAAGCCTGGAGGAGCTTTTCAGTGCAATTCTGCTCCCTTTGCCATTATAGATAGTAGTCTGTAACTGAATTTAGCCTGCTTTGCTAATCTCAATGTTCAGAGACTTTCAAGGAGCCAGTCAGGCTCTTGTCAGGCCCATGTGCCTTAGGAAGCAGCAAATATGAACAGTCTTTTGTGTGTGAAACACCTTTGACACTTTCTGTGTTTCCAGCAATACAGCTGCAATGAAAGAAAGATCACCTTGGTGAAGGCTTAGATCAAAGTCAACTGTTTAAATCAATTAAAAGGTGGTTGGTTTAGATTACATATAAGAAAGAAGTCTTTTGCAATGAGGGTTGGTAAAGCACTGGAAAAAGTTACCCAGAGAGGTGATTAATCACCTGGAAACATTCAAGGGGCTCTGATCTAGTTGAAGATGTCCCTGCTAACTGCACCTCTAAAGGTCCCTTCAAACCTGAACTGTTCTATGATTCTACATTTCTTAGTGTGCAGCGTCTCTTGATTGACCACTGGGTCTGTTTTTGTGCCTGGATGTTCACAGTCCATCTCTGCTCTTGTTCTGTCTGGTGAATATAACACTCAAGTGTTGTAAGGAGGGGGATTGTGGCATGTGAAGGCACCTCATGCTGAGGAGGGTGTCCAGAGGAGCTGGGTCATGGGAAAGCCTGCCCTGGGCATGGCAGCTCTGCAAGATCTGTGGTATAATTGTCATCACCAATGATAACTGGAGAAATACTAGCAGACTTCTTCTAACTGATCAATCCAGGATTCAGCACTAGCTCCAGCTGTTGACAATTATCCTCTCCCTGTGGCTTTGCTGAGGTGTGGTATTTGTCACAATAGATCCAACCTGTTAAACAGGTAATGCTTTTTGCTCCACCAGGGATGCCTTTAGTGACAGATAAAATGATTCCAGTGTACGGAGACAAGGTCCTTCAATTTGTTAAATTTGCAAACTGCATTGGGAGCCTGAGGGATGAAAGGTGTCATAGAAATGTAAAGTGCTATTACTCATCCAAAATCACTCTACTCTCTTTTCCTAAAAAAAAAAAAAAACCCAACAGTCATGTATACTTCTTTCCTGCATTTTCTTCAGTGTTTGGTTGGTTCCTTTAAATCTGCACACAGAACTGCTACCACTTAGTGCCTGGATCCTGACTGTGTCTCAGGCATTTTATCTGACCTTTTGTTAGGCAGTTATTTTCCTTACCTGTTTCTCCAGTTACTTGAGCAATTTGTTTTCTGTGACTAATTTTAAGACACTGATTTTCAGTGCTTTTATTTAAACACACAATTAGTTTAAGCATGCAAGTGAAGTTCATAAAGCTCAGTGAGTCCAAACACTTTGGTTGTACTCACTTGATAGGTTTACTGTATTTTCCCATGCCCTAGCATTAATTACAAACAGTTGAAATAGAAAGGCCTAATGAAGAACTAATCTTGATGTGAGAGCAGGAAAGAGAGATGTGTGGGACAGGAATTCAGTAATCCTCTGGCTGGAGGTTTAGTTGTACCTAAAATGCTGTCATTCAAGCAGCCAACTTAAATTGTCAGTCAAGAGCCTGTCAGTCTAAACAAGTCTGAAGCATGAAGTTTGCTTTAGTTGGCATTTAACTTTTCCCTTGGTGTCCAATTCTTAGCTTTAATCAGAATATCTCACAGAAGATAGGGTTCAGTTTGATCCAGCTATGTGAGCTATTGTATGTAATAGCTTGTCCTCAGAAGTTTCAGCTCCAGCTTGCAGTGGGAGTGAACAACATAAGCAACTTCCTCAGAAAGAACATCTGAGCAGTTATTCAGGTCTCAGGTTTCAGAGAGAGGCATTTCCAGTATTTTACTTACTTCTGTAAGGAAAGGAAAAAAGGGAACTCTCCTCTGCATGTTAGAGGGAATGATATAGATATATAGGGATAGATAATATAGATAGTAGGGTTAGATAGATAATAGGGTTAGATAAGTTCTCATGTGATCTCTGTTGCCTTACAGAAAATTTAAACCACACTGAAGATAAGAAACAATATTAGCCAACAAATTATAAATCATCAGGTTCTAAAACTATCACTAATGTATATAGTAGCTCCAATATTGTATGTAGATTTTCCTCTGAAAGGCAATATTTATGGAAAAAGTGGTAACCAAAAAATGTAACTGCAACAATATTGAACATATGTGTCATTTGGTAGATTTGCGCTTGGAGCTTACAAAGTAATGAAAAGCACTGAAGTTCACTGCCAAACATATCTACAGCCAGCAGATCACAGGGATCAGGTCAACAGGTGCACCTAAAAGGTAAAGCATCAAGATGCCAACATACAACTCACTGAAAGACAGCAGCTAACAACTGGGCATCTTCAGAGCAGGGAAGCAGAACTTGTCAGGTCAAATGATTGAGTGGAAGTAAGGTGGTTCAGCAGGGAATGAAACCCAAGGATGAAGTAATAATGACCAACGAACAGTACTGGTGTCTAAATTATGCATGACAATGATACCATAATTAGACTTTTATAATACAAAGCATAACTCTACATTGTGTTTTCACCAAATAGGTTTGGGTTTTTTTTCTGTTCTGGCTGACTGTCCATTATATTCTAACATATTCTTCATGTCTTTGGGTATTAAATGCCCAAGTAAACTTTGTTTTGAAATCTAGGCCTCTAGTCTAGGGATTTCAGCAGTATTCTCCAGCATTTGCAGATTATCCATGTGGTATATGTTCACCATTCTTGTAAGTTTTATATCTGTAGTTCAGTTTCTACTATCTTTAAAATCATCAGTTAAAAGGGTTAATTTGTGGGCATAAATAGCTTTAAGATTCTCCTGAGCATCTGTGACCACTGCCTTGCCCTAAATGGAAGGGACATGTAAGTTTCTTGAACTTCGTTTAAATTGTACTTTCTACCTCCTTTCTCTACTACTTTGAACCTTTTCTTCTCCAGAAAAAACTCTTTCTCACACATCCTTTCCATTCCATTTTTAAAAGGGGAACACTGAAAACAAGTATGTGGAAAATATTAATACATTTAAAATAAAAGTGATACAGGGGTAGAAATTTAACTACTTTTCTTATGTCTTTCTGGCCACAGTGCAAGAGAGAATCTCTCAAAGAGCATGCCTGAAAAAGAGATTCCTGCTCTTTCCATCATGTCCCAGTGCCTCTGAAATACTCAGCTTTACAACCATGACACCAACAAGTTTCTGTGAGGTAAGAAATTCCTGTGACCCATTCACTGCTGCTCACTAAACTTTCTGTGGCCATTCAAGCACCTCTGTGACAGCAAATGCTTGAATGCTAAGGCATAATTCTGGGAATGAAGTTTTGGTAACTGCAGGCTGAGTCGCTGGGAAGTGGTTCTGTTTTATACCTGGTCTTTGACAGCCCTGCAAGAAACCCAGCTATGGCTTGGGCATGTTGCTGCTCACTTGTGCAGCAGGGCAGAGCCACCCTAAGCTGGCCAAGGGGGCTCATGGGCCGTGGGGATGGAGCGCAGGGAAAGCTTTGCAAAGGGAAATCTGGAGCCATGTTTGGCCAGCCAGTAGAGGCTGGGGGAGTGAGGGGTGGTGGGGGGTGCCCAGCTGCTGTTTCCAGCCCCCTAAAGAGGGGTTCAAGGGAAGGCAGACCCAGGCTCCTTCCAGCATAACCATAAGAGGCCAGGGGCACGAGTTGCCACAAGAGAAATCCCAGGCAGTGCCCTCCATCCCAGGCTGCCCGCTCGGGACTGCAGGGCAGCAGGCGCAGCCTCAGGTACTGACTCTCAAAGCGTACCCGGCCTCGGTGCTGGCACCGCAGGGGCTCCTGTGCTGCCAGGATGGGCTGGGCAGAGACAGCCAGCTGGGCTGCCCTGGAAACGAGCTCCTCTGGGTGTCCATCCTTTTTGGAAATATATGTATATATATATATACACACACACACATATATGCACACATATATATACAAACACACATACACACATATATATATATGTGTGTGTGTATTTTGTATTATTTTTTGAATTGTGAGGTATTTGGGTGTGGATAGGGTTTGTTTATTTGTTTGTTTCAAGTCATCTTTTTGCACTTGGAACAGCGGTGGTGTGGCCAGTGAGGGTGACTGGCAGGTCGTGTGGATGGCTGGGGGCTATGCTGTGCTTCGATCGCTGCCGGAGCTGGCAGCCTGGCAGCCCAGGAGGGGCTTGCGAGCGGCTTTTTAAAGCCTGGGATTTCCAGCGCTCCTCAGGATGAGTCGCAGCTCGGCAGCCCTGCACAGAGCAGATGTCCGGAGGGGAGGGAAATGCTTTCGGCTGAACCCAAAAAGTACGTGCCAGGAGGAAGGCTTCAGGAAGTGGGAGCTGGGCAGGGAGGAGGGAAGGGAGCATTTCTCTTCTGCTTCGTTTTCTAAGGAATTATTTAAATGGATTGCTTCTCCTCTAGAAGGAAAACCTCACTGAAGCTGTTTTAATGTGAATTTTGATATTTATTTTCTCTGTGTGTGTGTGTGTATCTGTTTTCTTCGTGCAGTTTTGTTTCGATTTTTAGGACTAATTTGGAGTTTTGGCTGATGGGAGAAGTGGTTGTGCAAGGGGTTGATGTAGCAGGAGGTTGCTTATGATGATATTTGTTGCATCATCAAGAGATGACTGATTAAACCTTATTGGATCTGATCCATAATAGCAGGAACGTTTTTATGAGAAAAGAAATATAAATGAAGTCCTTAAGCAGATTTCACAGCTGTTATCCTTTTGTGGAGCTGATTAATAGAATGTAAAGTGACCTAAATGAAGTGCTGTAGAAAGGCTTGTCAATAGTTTATACATTAAGCTAGGATTATTTGAACACATTCATAATGAAAAGAGGATTTTCTTGTGCATTACAAATTAGTTATGATGATTTGAGGCAAAAGACTGAGATAAGTCAGCAAGCTAAATAGAAAGAATTTGTGTACTTCTGTCCTCATAGAGCCCCATCCCTGTATATCCTGACCTTATACCATTACAATATTTTGTAGAGATTTTAGTACAGAAGATTTACTGCTAAACCTTTGCGAACTTGCGTGGACTTAATTTTATTAGGCAGCCCAGCCCTGGCATTCAAAGAAGTCTACCAAGAATATTTGTTTCTTGTCTGAAGAGTGGAAGATAAAAGGTTATGGGAGTGTGGTGGGAGAAACTCCAGCCTGGGAGGGAAGCTGCAGATTTTGTTTCATTGCAACAGGTCTTGGAATAAGTGAGACAAAAAGTTGGGGCAAGCTTTTTACAGTCATTTAAAATAATAAATAAGTGCCAAGTGAAAAGGAATTTGAGCATGTAACTCATAACTCCAAATTATATACCAAAATTGTGTTTTGGCACTGCTGAAGGTCTTAATTTTCAGTTTGTCTTTTTAATCCCATCTTTACCACAGTGACCCTTTTTGCTGTTAAATTTTCTCTAAAGTTTCTGAGGAAATAGTTTTGTTCCCTGTCATTTATACTCACCAAATTTTCAACTAATTCACTTCCTGTATTGCTTTCTCTTGCCACAGATTCAGCTGTGCAAAATCATGTGTATTTGCAACTAAGTAAATTGATCAAGGGATCTAAAGTTGAAATTTGGTTGACTTTGTTTGGCTGCCTTGAGAGGTTGCAAATTATCCCCCGCTAGGATATCCTGTGTTTCCACTGCCCTGAGGTGCCAGTCTGGAGATGATGGTGGCTGCTGAAGGTGATCTGCTTAGTCCAGCAGGCCCTGGAAGCAGAATTCAGTGCACAAACAGGAGAGCAGAGACGTGTGTCTGCATATGGTTGCAGGTGGTTAAGCGAGACTGGTCACACTCCTAAATCCCCAGGGCATGACAAAGCAGTGTTGCTGCATGAGATGATTCAGCCTTTGGTATCAATGTACCCAAGAGATTTTCACAGTTATGCAAACTTAATAGAAGCACAGAGTTGCAAGACATTGCAGCTGCAATATGAGTTAAACTCTCTCAGTCCGGAAAAGCAGGAAATCTTAGTGTACAGGTGCAAGGGAATTTAAGTAGCTCCTCATAATGCAGCTGAGAGGAAGCACCAGGCTGACTTGCATAAATTGATTGCAGGCTGCTAGACACTCTTTTAAATTCAGCCACCCTAGGAAAGGTTTAAATAAAAAGATATTGCTCAGACTTCACATGCAGCTTTGGTAGGCGCTGGGACTTGAAGTTGTGCTTGGCAGGTAAATAAGCCAGCAGTCAGAAATGCCTGGTACAGATGGTAGTCAGTACCTGAACATGTGATGGGGCACAGGCAGAATGCAGGGCATGCATGGTTCAAGGATGCAGCCTGGGGCTGCTGTGCAGCTGGATCACCCTGTGTGCCTGGGTCAGCCTGTTACAGTGAGGGCTGAGCTGGGAGTTACCAGCTGATCCTGCTGACAACAGCCCGGGGAATGGTATCAGCAGCTTTGTTTGACAGCTTTTGCAAAGTTCAAATGTATCCTAAGCAGAAAGCCCAAGAAATAGGAAGACGGACTGTTCTGATTTTTGCTGATCCTTCTGGACTCACTGCCATCAGCACAGCTGTGCTGCCAGTGAAATGACTGAGTGGGTGAAAGCAAGCCCTCGCTGGCTGCATGATATAAAGGGCAACACTTATACAGCTCCACTTAATCTAAACCTCCTAAATCAACAGGAAAGAGCTCACTTTGTGCTTTGCAAAGTTAGCAATGCCTACAAAAGGACTCGATCTCAAGTGAGAATTAAAATTATTTGGATTTCAATTTAAAAAAGGATAAAGTACTTTCATTGAACTTTCTGCAACCAATAATGTAGTGCTCAATAAATTACTTGCCTTTTCTTGAGAAAGAAAAATATGCATAGTTTCTTATATACCTGATATCTTTTGCTACAATTTCTATACTGACACTTGTGCAAGTACTCAAATGATGTAATTGAGTCAGCATGGCTTAGAAACGTGCAGTGTTGTTGTCACCGTGCAGTCGCTGTCATAAGAGGTCCCTCCCTCCATGGTGCTGCAAAGACCATTGCACCCCAGTTGAGTGATAGCAAATGAAGGTGACTTCAGGAGCACCAGGGAGACTCTTAGTGGATCAATGCTGGCACTTTGGAAAACTCCAGTGGCACTGCTGTAGGTAAGTGCCGGTCAGTTACTCCTCAAGCAGCTGGTGAGGGAAGGCAGCGTGGCTCGAATGCTGGAGGGCTGCAAGATCTGCAGTGCTTGCCATCCCTCCTCCACAGTACAGGAGGTAGCAGTCTGATGGTGTCCTGGGTAATGCTTCAAAAAAACTTAAATAACCCATTTGTAACAGAATTATTTTTTTTTTAGAATCAGTAGTTGTCAAATTGCTTTGCAGTCTGTCATTAGCTCAGTGTTTGGTACAACAAAACTAGTAGCAACAAACTTTTGCTGAAGTTCAATGCAATTTTGCAACGAATAGTAACTATTTGTGCTCAGTGGGCTTTTACTCCTGGAGAAAACTCGAATATCTTTCTTACCCCTACAGCTGTTGTGGGCAAATTGTTCTTGTAGCTGTTTTTCCATTGAGAGATGCTCTTTGATGCAATGCTTTTCCAGAGCTGAGTGGGCAGAGGTAGGTCCAGTGTGAACTCAGATCTAGTATGGACATATGTTGAGGCAGACACAGTGCTTTGTTAGACTTCTGTTTGTTTTCTGAGATTCTCTGATACATGTTACTTTGCTGGCTTTTTTATATGCTTTTTAACATAAATGTTCTTTTCTGTAAATGGCACTTTTCTTCTTAAATCAGTAAAGGGAGCTGTCTTGTGCTGAGATTTTCTGTTCTGGTACTTCATCCTGATTCCAAGCTGATGTTGCAGAGGCAATGTAGGAGATGTTTCAAATCTACCCCATATCCAGAGATTATCATGAGGGTGAGAGGAAGATGATGTTTCCTAATGTAGATGGGCTAAAATTTTTGTTAGTTTTTGTAGAGTCTTGAAAAGTGGCCTGTAGAATTAAAACAAGAGACTGCATTAAAATAACTGCATCATCCCTATTTTCAGTGGGTTACACAGTGCAGTGGAGATGGAAAGGATGAAGTTTCCTTCACCACTGTATCAAAATTGTCTTGATGCTTCTCCAAACTAAAGGCAGTTGCTTTTGTGTAAGATATTGTTTCTTCTCCTAGGATAAGCACTGCCACGAGATAATTTTCTAAGAGATACAGATATTACTTATACTATACATACCTATTTCCACCAAATGTGTCAATTTATGCTTTGTTTGTTTAGTGC